CACTTAGTGCACAGGATCCACATTCGTTACAGTTTCAGTGGAGAAAAACCCACAGATTTGCCACCTGCATTTTACTCCTGGCAATAGCAGTTCCCTCCAATTGCCAGGAGCTTTATGGATTCACTTCTAAACCACATTTTCTACCAAACAACTTAATTGTGAGAGCAGGGAGAAAACAACTCTGCTCCCCTTCAGCTGCTCAGTCTGGTGCTGTCAAAGGCTCGTTTAGAGCAGGGAGATGAATCTGATGCATTCAAGGCAGAACATCCTCGGAATAAAAGCATTCCTGGAAGTTGTTTGAAGAGGGTTTTGGAAGACATGTGGGACTCAGGGCCAAATTAAACAGTGGCTGCTGGGCCCACACAGATTCCCTGGGGCTGGGGGGCTGGGGCTGGCTGGAGCCCATCCCCACGGGGCAGCCCCTGGCCCTGCAGCCAGAATGGGAACAACTGTTTTATTCCAAGGAATAAGCAGATTTGTCCTTGCATTCCTTCTTTTTTTTGAACTAATTTTGGAGAGTTTTCAAACTCCCAAGCCTGGCAGCGGGGAGTTTCCCTGATATTCCTCCAGCAAGAGTTGTGCACTGGGGGAGGTCCCCATTTGCTGCAAGCCACGGTAAAAAAAAAACAATTTGGGCCCCAGTTTTTGTCTCCATAGCTCTGTTTGTCTCATCTGTGCTGTTTGCCTGCACCTCTGCAGTGTGGTCCTGCTGTGGCTGGAGGGTACTTCCAAGGAGGGTTTGGACAACCCTCTCAGGGACATGGGGGATGTCCTGAAGTTGGATTCGATGATCCCTGTGGGCCCCTTCCCACCCAGGATATTCTGTGAGGGCAGGCAGCAGCTCTTGTGAGTGGGAGGTGCCAAATTTTGGGCTGCAGCAGCATTTAGGAACCACAGGTCCAGCTGGGGAACACAGCTTTGGGGTCACTGCAGTGCTCGGCAGCACCGACCTTGGGGGTTTGTAACCTGTTTCTTTGCAGCCATTTCCCTTTCTCTGCCCAGGGACTGAAGAGACAGCTTGGAAAAAGGCTCCCCAGGGAAGGGGGGGAGTCACCCTCCCTGCAAGGGTTCCAAAACCAAGCACATGTGGCACTTGGCCATGTGGTTTAGTGGGAATGGTGGGGTTTGGTCGAAGGTTGGCCTTGATCCCATTGGAGGTCTTTTCCAACCTTAATGATTCTGGGGAAAGCTGAGCAGTTGGGAGCTGTGTGTTTGAGGAGCGGTTAACAGGCAGGAGCACTGCAGAGATATTTAATAAAAGGCTGAACAAACGTGTCGTAGCACGTTGTACAAATCACTCTGTGCCCCTCATTTAACGCTGATGCCTCATCTGTTCATGGCTGGGAATCATTTGTGGATTCTTTAGTGCATCCTGGCAATGGGCATGGCAAAAAGAAACACAATTCTTTCTGTTAATCATTCATGTCTCTATTTACACCTCTCCTCTTGTTTAAAGCTCCCTTCCCTGGCAGGAGTTGAAACTCTCTGAATATCAGGCATTAGAAATGCAATCTCATGCACAAAGCCTTGGCTTCCCAAAGGAGCAGCTGTGCAGGAGTGGGGGGACACGCCAGGATCCAGGGCTGCTGTGGCAGAGGGGCTTTTGGAAATGGGTTTGCAGCGAGTAATGGGGAGAGAGAGACTTGATTTCTACATCCAGTTGAGGATATTTTGGGAAAAAGCAGGGAGAAGGATCTCATTCCACTTTTTCCTCCATTCCTTTGGAAACTAATGGGTTCTCTTTTTCCAAAATGGGTGGGTTTTTTTAATCTTTTTTTTTTCCCCCCTCATCTGATACTGATAATTAAAGCAAACCCAGAGCTCAGTCTGTCGTGCCCATGGTGCAGCTCCCTGTCTGTTGACAGCTCACAGCAA